GGGAAAATTAATTTCCAGACTATAGATTCTGAGGTGAAATAGTTGGATAACGCCTCATCTGGTTTTCTAATCAATTTCTGTAAACGCTTTAACTCTGTATGAGCTCCCTTAAAATTTGTGGCATTATCTGTAATGATGGGAGAGATTTTCCCTCTTCTAGCACAAAATCGCTTAAGAGCTGCTATAATGGCCTCAGATGTCAAGTCTGTTACTATCTCCAAATGGATTGCCTTTGTAGCTAAACATATAAATACAACAACATAAATTTTAGGAAAAATTCTCTTGAGTTGACCCTTGGAAAAATGAAATGATCCGCAAAAGTCAACGCCACAATTAAGAAAGGGTGAAGCGGAGTTATACGCTCAGTGGGAAGATTACCCATGACCTAATTTGCTGCAATTGGTTTGTTTTTAAAACAAATCACACAAGCATGAACTATCTTACGAGCCAAGCCCTTGCCGTGAATGGGCCAATATTTCAAACGCACCTGATGGAGTTACCGTATTTTTCATTCTTTAAGCATAACATTTTTGTTAAAATCTATATTTTTGTAGTTCAACAGCTTATAATTTTATAAAACAAATTCATAATCAAAATCGCTGTTAATTATCGAAAAATAACCAAGATGTGATTTTTGCGTAAACGTCACTAAACTATACAAATTGCTATTATCTATCACACTATGAATGTTTCTTTCATGCGAAAAGAAAGAAAATGAATGTTTCTTTCATACATTTTTTCGATTTGTATGGAACTGTCGTGTGTCGAAATACTATCAGAATCTTGTCAAGCGAGCTTCTGAATGTAAACAAAGAACACCCCATCTGGTGACCGAAGCTTCGAAGCAGTGCTTCACTTTTAGTGCCGGTTGGCCGCTCCTTCCTTTCTTACATCCATGATTATGAATAAGGGGGCCTATCTTTAGTTTTTTCCTGTTGATACAAAATACCTAGGTACTAAGGTACCAATTGGAAAACTTTGCACTTGGTTAAGTGAGTAAAGTTGAATTCATTTTCTCATCAAAATTTAACAAAATAAAAAGACATACAATTCAGTAAAATTCAAGTTTAATTTATAATGATTATTACGAATTAAGTACTTAAAGAATCTTAAGTAGGTAGGAAATTATATTTAAAAAAGTACTAATTCGCAAAGAGAAAATAAAACATTCAGTGTGATGGATGAACCTGGTGACTATCTACCAATCTAGCTACATCCGGTTCAATATTGGTGAGTTGCAGCCTTAAATCTCCACTTTGGTTGACTTTCAAACGGTTTCTTTGTTTCGTCAAAATGTTACCACACTGAAGCTTTTTTCAACTAGGTATGATGATGGAAAAGCAATAAGGTATTTTTCAGCAATGTTCCACAATGTAGGATACTGTGTTTCAATGTTGCGTTGCAACCAGAACTTCTGATAGCCTTGGTTGAACTTCTGCTTAAGCTCTTCGTCTGTGCTGATGGTAATCAACTCTTCTTGCATTATCACATTGGCTTCTTCTATGGCTGTGGTATTGTACGAATTTATTATCCATTGAGGAATTTGTAAATTTAAAAGATCCTCAAACCTCTCCGTAAAATCCTTGTGTAATGCGTCCAAGTGAGTGACATATAATAAAATGTCATCATCTTGAAGCATTTCTGGTAATTTTGACTAATGCGGAAACTGCGAATATTCTTTTCTGCCTAAATTTTGTTTATAAAGGATTAGTTTACCCACGAAGGCCGATATTATTGATTTTGTTTTAATCAAGTTAAGATTGTCACCCTGAGTTGCAAATTAACTTTGTTGTACATTCCAAAGATTGACTGCAGTCAAGTAATAAATATCTGTTTTACAATTGTTCAGATTTTCTTTCAAATGCGGATCTTTTTCTTGTAAAAACTCCAACACAGATTCAAAAATGGCCGAAAATCTTTCTAAGCAAGAGCCTCTTGATAGCCAGCGAACTTCAGTGTGCAGAAGTAATCGAGTAAAGACTTCGTCGTTTTCCTCACATAGCTGTGCAAATAACCGAGAGTTTAAAGAATTGCTTCGAATCTTGTTGATAGCATTTATTGCATATTGTAAAGACTTATGCAATCTAGGACTCAGCTTTTTTGCTACTAAATGCTGCCTGTGAATCACGCAGTGAATGACCAGTACATCAGGCAGTTGTCGCTTTAAGTGAGCTATAAAACCACGATGACGACCAACCATAGACGGTGCACCATCAGTCGCAACAGAAACAATGTTCTTCCATGGAATAGCTTTGTCAGTTAAAAAAAATGTTCCACGGCCTGAAAAATCGATTCTCCTCTGGTATCAGTCTCTAAATATGTAGCAAAAAGCAGTTCTTGGCACATATTTTCATCTTTGATAAATCGAACATATTCCTAACAACAGAGCTTCATTGCCGGGTAATGTAGACTCGTTCAACTGGAGAGAGAATCTCTTGGTCTGTAAGAACTTGCATAAAATGTTTTCCACATCGCATCCCATCTCGTCTATGCGTCTCTAAACGGTGTTATTGCTCAAAGGTATTCTTTTTAAAATATAATGTGCGGGTTTGTGCAATACATTGTTAAGGACCTCCGCAATGGCTGGTAAGATAAGCCGCTCTCCAATTGTGTGGGGTTTTCCCAACTTCGCTATTAGTAAAGATATATTATAGAACGCTCGTAAACCATCATCGTCTTTAATAGATGATGACGCAAACATCGATCTTATGGATGGCCTTTTGTCTAGTTTTTCTTTAAGTGCTTGAAAAAATGACAAGGGCTTACTTTTTTTGTCAGCATGTACTCTTGATAAGTGGTCATCCATTTTTGAAGGCTTCATGGCATCGTTACTGAATACTTTTTCACATATGAGACACATCAGCAAGTGTTGATTTGATGGAGATGCAATAAATCCGAACTTCAAGTAGTCCAAACTGTATTGTCTGCATTTTTTTTTTTCGTGTCCGCCATCATAAAACTCTCAGTAATCAGTCACTTTACTTCACTTAATTAGCTATGTAATAACTTTGTAATCTCTTGAAATAAATGAGTACTTATATGAGTTATTATCGTTCAAGCTCCAACGAATTTTAAAACGCAAATTAACTTTCAACCTAAGTGCAAGCTCGTTAAATAGTAAAATATCAGGAACATGTTTGGACTTGATCATGAATTCGTTCGTGTTAAATCGCGTAAGCGTCAAATAGAGAGCAAGTCAAAAAGCGCCTGAAAGACGTACCGCTCGAACTCATTATCTTGCACAAACTTGTCCACACAGACTTGCCGAGTTCTACATCTTGTACGAACTTGAGACTTTACATTTCTACAACAATGCTGTTTGCTACAAAAATATTAATTATTCTTAGTACACGTAACACAACATAAACAATACAGTACCTACCTATCTTGAAAGTTTTAAATAAGAACTTGTGTTAATTTAATAGGAGTCGATTTTTAGACCTCGTCGACCCCTAGGAAACCGATATCGACCACTTTGGGAATCCCGGTTTTAGAAAATTCATACATAATTTTTTATTTTTGACGATAATGAGCCTATTTTCAACATTCATTTGTTTGAATGCACTACATTTAAAGAAGTTATGGTTTCCTTTACACTGGATTCATTTTTTTTGAGTTGGAATTAATTGAATTTATAACAAAACCTTTTTGTTTTGCACCGATACAAGTTCGATTTTCAAGAAAACTTAAAAATTCATCGAGTAATGCAACATCTTTAGATTTTAAGGTAAGCTCAAATTGCTTTCGAGTTTACTTGTCAATTTTTCTGAAGGAGAATATTTATTAAAATTGCGTTAGATAGCCTATCCAGATTGTACTCTAGCGTTTAATTAATCTAGTACTCTATCCAGATTGTACTAGGCGCGTAGATTGCGTTTGGTATGATCTAATAATCGGCGAAGTTCCATGGATGATTCTTGCTGAATTTTCTCTTGGTTCAAAATATTTTTGGATATGACTATCAACTACCGCTCGTTTATTTTCGTAACGTAATTCTAAGGCTTGAAACAGTGATTGGTATGTGTCTTCACAATTCTCGATATTTTTTGCCTCTCCTTTAAGAGCAGTCTTTAAATAATAAAGTTTTTGTGTTTCAGTTAACCTTTTATTTTCAGCAATTAAGGATATAAATTGGCATTTAAAATCATGAAATTCTTCATATTTTCCAGAGAACTGAGGTAACGGTACTTCAGGTAATTTAACATTCATATTTTCAACAGTACTATTAAGTAATGGTTATGCATTAACTTTTGATTTTAATTTTGAAAGGAGGTATTTGAGACTTACCTCCATTTTCTCCAGATCGTCATCTAGTTCTACAATAATTTCACAGGATTTTTCTATGGAGACCTCTGCTGGTAGATTGAAGTACCGCAGTTTTAATTCATCCGAGGATCGCTTTATTCCTGATAACGATTGCAGTTCATTTCTAATAATGATTAGCTTTCTTCATTTTCGACGAAGTCACGCAGAGAATGTTCCAGTTTTGTTACTTTCGCTTTTAGACAACCGCATTGCCTGTTCAGAGATATTATATCATCCATAGTTGGTGTTCTTTCTTCGGGTCGGTTAGGACTAAAATGTTGATAGCAAATGGTAGTTGTGGACTGTATTCATAAAAAGTTGAGAAACTTAACAACATTTATTTTCTTTCAAGCACAATAATGCCGCTTAAACGGGCAATGAGTGAGTAAGGAACAATTGACTGCCGCTTTGTTCGGGCAGAGGAACGGAGACTCGGTGTGGACCGAGTGCATTCTTATCGCTTATTGATTAGTACTGGGCTCTCGCCACTGACATTACGTGGCGCTGCAAACGTTAAGCCAGTGCAAATAGACAGAAATATTCTAACCGAGACGGAACACTGCCTATTTAAGAAATGTTTTCATGTAAGACGATTTTCAAAGATAATTCACTGGAAACTATCTTAAGGTTTCATATTAATTTATGTATAATTTCTGAGCTTTTATTTGATTAACTCACTTTACTTTTATTTGTAGGTCTATCACTTTCTTTTTCTTGGATTACTGTTCAGGAGTTCTTCAGGTTTCTACTTTGGAATGCCAGCTGACAATCGAAATGACAAACAAATCATTTATCAAACACCAGGAAATACTAACCGATTTGGGCGGCAAATGCCTCCTCATCACGAACCTGATGCTGTTATCATAAGCGTAGGAAGCAATCAACCCGGAATTCCAGGAGGATATCCTAGCTTTGACATTCCAAATGGTCCTGATGTGTACGGAAGACCTCAAGGCCCACCTGTATTTGGAATGCCTGGAGGCCCTAATGTATTTGGAGGACCCAGAGGACCAGGTATATTTGGTATCCCGGGTGGACGTGGTGGTCCTGGGGTATTTAGAATACCAAATGGGCAAAATGGACCTGGTGTGTTTGGTATACCAAATGGACAAGGTATACCTGGAGTTTTTGGCAGTCCTGGTGGGCATGGCCAACCTGGAAACCCAAACATGTTTGGCGCGCCTGGAGCACAGGGATTTGGATGGGGATTTGCTGGAGGAATACTGCCAATGCCTAATAGTGGAGAAACATTTCTGACACCAAGCGGAGTTCCTAGATCTTTCGATGGTTTCGTACCAGGAGGATTACTTCCTACTAGTGCTGGAGGAATGGTGCCAGGGGAATCAGCTTTCATACCTTTTCAGCCAGGAAATGCAGGAATTCCTGGTGGAATCATCCCTAGACCAGAAATCTATGGGGGACCTGGAGGTCGAGAAATACGTGATGATCCAATAGCAGATCCATTTCCCTTAATTGATAAATCATCAAGGTAAAAAGTGCTGGTGCTATTTAACAGGTAAGAAAGCACATTATTTTTCTCAAGGAAGAGCCATAAAGCTAATTCTACTTCATCATAAAAACATATTCTGATAATGTTATACATTTTTAAATATTAACTTTTAAATGCAATTGAATTTGCCATTAGTGGTTATTTACGGGTCAAAGGCTTTTGTTCAAGGAGTTCCTTCTAAATTGGAATTTGATTTTTGCAAATGAATTTGTTTCATAGATTTCAAAAGTACTCACCTAAGAATGCAACTACACAAATATTAAATTAAAAATAATTACATACAGTTAATTAAATAGGAGTGAATCTATTTGAAAAATGAATAACTAAAATGAAATACAAATAAAATGAAAATTAACTTGAATTTAATAAAGGAAATTTAATGAAAGCTACACATAATTATTGAAAAGAAATTTTCAAAAGAGTTTGTTTTTGTTTGCACGTTTTTATGTTAATTTTTTAAATGAATTCTTCTTTATTATAATCCCTCATGGTATTTCCTATGTCTCAAAAATGGTTATATTAAATGCTTCAATATATTTTAGCGCATTTGTGCTACTTAGCACGATACTTGGCTAATCAATCTCAATTTCTAAGATTTCTTCGTATTCTTGATTTTCCTTTAAGAAATGTCCAACATTCAAATTCATGAATCAAACTATCCAATAAACAGCTATTCACCTAAAAATAAATAAATTAATAAAAGCAAAAGAATACACATCCATAGCTATGGAACCTATTTTAAGAACAGGTTATCACATCACAACCACAGAACAAAAGACTGTCCAAAATTAATGGAAGATAGAATGCTCCTATCGTCAAGTGAGATGTCCAAATTTTCACAGAATTCCAGGACACAAGTTGAGAATTTATTCTATTGAATACTTTTGGGGATTCACCTTTGCTAACTACTCTGGTTTTGTAACAAATCCTAGACTTACTTCTTCCAATCAATATCTAAACACTCAGGTGCTTGACTGATTCTAATGTTTAATTCTCTCGAATCCCATACATGATTTTCTTTTCAGAATAAATGTGTCATTGAAGAAGACGTCTCTTTTATTTATTTTTTCTTTACACCTTTTTTTTTTTAAATCTAAAAATGATCGATCTCTAAGAAAAAATTCCTGTCAGCACTTTTCCTTCTTCATTGCTAGGATTGAAATACAGTAGCTCACATCTCTTTTCGGACACTCGTATTTTTAATATATTTGGACAGATCTTGTACTAAATATTAAACTATAAAATTAATTTTTTTAATAATATTTTATTTTTTTTAAACCATGAATGTTGTAAAATAAATACCATCAAAATGTTTCTTGTAATAAAATAATTTGTTAAAAAAGTGTTAATCAGTAATGTCGAACTCTGAATTTTTGGTGAAATGTTTTGGTGTACAATATTTTTTGCCATAAGTTTTTGCTTTAAATGAAAATGCATCACAAAAATTATTGTCTGCGTTTAAAAATTATTACTTGTTTTCTAAAATATATTAACAATTCCATGTCTAATGTGAACGTGAAATGACGCTACAACTTAACGATCAATAATTTGAGAAGTCATCTTTTTAAAGATAGTTTAAAAGTATTTGAAATAACCAAAAAATCCTTTATGTAAAGCATTTAATTACCTTAGATGTTATAAAAGGATGAAATTACTAGAAATATTGAAAATGCAATAGAGTGTGGACCGCATTTCAAAGTCACATCAAAGAACCGCAGATTTATTCTATGAAAAATCAAACCAACCAAAAAATTAGTACTGTAAAACATTCAGCAGATTTAGAAGAAAACTTTGCAATCAAAACTTACCCTGCAACTTTAAGGAGCATCATTTAGACCACACGGATCCGATGGGTCATCAGCAAGTAGGAAATTCTTTATCAACAAGAAAAGTACGGAAATACGCTCGGCGTTCGCAAAATCCATAGTAAGGAAAGTTTTACTTTATTGGAAAAATATTACATCTGTAGAAATGCAAAAATTTAATATATTTGGCCCCAACAGAAGAATTAAGGTGGCGAAAGCCAGATTAAGAATTGAATAAAAATCTTATTGCCTTCCAGTGGGAGGCACTTGCCTATGCCGGCATCGACCACTCCTAAAGCCAGATGGAGACACCTAATAGGTGGGCCACCTTTGCCTCGTATGAAGGGACAGACAATTACACCCATTCTCCGGGAATCGAACCCGGGCCCCAGGCTCCCTTAACCACTACACCGTCTAAACGGCACTGCCTATTGTTAGCACGAGAGTAGAAGCGCAATACTCTGGAGATGTTTCACTGCCTCTGAAACAGGAAATTTAGTGTTTATAGAAAATAATATGGATTAAGATTTAATACGCATATAAAAATTAAAAGCAGATTCATAATGAAAGCGTCTACAAGAAAACTTGGAATGCAAAATACATTCAAGTTCTATCAGAATAGCGATCCCAAACATACAACCTTAAATGTTTCGCTTGTGGTTATTATGCAACTATCCTGAAGTTATCAAAACTTCTCCAGATTCTCTGGACTTAAATCCTATGGAATATATATGTAGTGAGTTGGAAAAAAGAATAAAGAAACACGATACTTCTGAAAGATAAATTTTTTCTCAAGAATGTATAAAAGTTTATGTTAATTTTTTTAAGAGTTAATCTTTAGTTAAAAGTTACTCTCTGAATTTTGGCTTACAACTTCCGGCCAGAACGTATTTTCAGAATCGCGTTTGAATGCAAAAATGAGGAGAAGTATTTAATTGTGAAGTTTTACTGACTTCGTGAGAGAGCCAGCGATTCTGACTAGCGCATGTTCGCCTTTTTGGCTATTCTCTCTCTTAAGTTATTATTACGCTCAGCCGTACTTAAGGCCCTTGATGGCTTTGCCGTTATTTAGCATTAAAGGGGCCAACTCTGTTAGAATCTTGATAGCTTCGGCTATATTTTTAGTTAAGATAAGTTAAGTTTTAGTTTCCCGAGTGGAGGCTTTATTGTAACTCCAGTAAAGGAGTCATCTGTTAAACTTTATTTGGAATAATAAAGGGTAATTTGACCCTTCTCACGTTTTGTTCTCTTTCTCACGAACTCAAGCGATTATTTGTTTATTAGTTCTTAAGGTTCCTCAACTTTAGCTATAGATTAAAACACTTAGGAATCTTACAAATGAAATAAAATATAAATTTGTTATTCATTTAATTATTTACCATATAAGGAATAAACTGTCATTTCGTAACTAAATATCTTGTGTGATATATTTCTTTTCTTTTCTTTCCAGGTTTGTAAAGATATTTTAAGTGCCACAGTTGACCACAAAGTGAGAAGAAAATGCAATGAACAAATTCATTTGTTACATTTTTAAATAAAATTTTGTACGAAAAAAATTATTTGTCACTTTAAACACAAGAATTGTAAATAGTAAGTACATAAACAATGAGCATCGTACATAAATCCAATTATTAACATTTTTCTTAATGTTACACTACCGTGTAATTCTTCAACTGCTGATAATCCAATATATTCATTAAAATTTTAAGTAAAATCTGTCACTTTCCGTATATAGTTCCCACTTTCAAATTAGGCTATTTCTCAGGAGACCGATTTAAAAAATTTTTTACAGTGTATTCTACTAATTTGACTTTACTTCAGTCAGCAAAAGACAACATAATCATTTGCCTTCTAGAGTGTATTTATCCTTATATATGACATACAATTTATTTTATTTATATTTAATACCACTTACTAAAATTCATCTTTAATTTTTTTTTCCATAATCAAACTCCATAATATCCCTAGCCAAACATGATGAATTAGCTAACATATTAAATATTAGTAATTAAACATTTTTATGTTTTTTTATGAAATACCTAAAAACATTATAAAAATCTAATTTACGTCACTCATTTTTTGAAGCAAATAATAGAAATGTATGTAAGAAATATGCAACTATGCCATTAAAAAAATAGGTAAACATTTTAAAAGGAATATTGATACAGAAAAAAACTACTCTTTCAATAAAAAGAAAGTTATAACTGTATATCATTTATAATAAATATTACTTACAGCATTAACAAGTAACAATTACATTGGATAAAGAAAGTGTTTAATAACTGAATACTCTGTGAACTATATAATATGAACATGGCTAAAATAAGCATATCCTGTTTAAAGCTTGGCTCGTTAATTAATAGCACTAGATTTCTGAAGTGCTTATTGAGGAGGAAAAAATAACATTTCAGATTAACAAAAGCAAAAATATTGATTCTTTTAAACGAGAACAGCATTACAAGGATTTGCTATACGATTGCATCATCCAAAATGAACGATTCACCTAATACTACAAGGACTTATTCGTATTATATTTTGGTTAATTAGAGGAACAAATGAGCTTCTCTTCTACATAAATTCCAATGCGAAGAAATTTTATGCCATGTGAAGGATGATTTTCTTCCTTGATTTTACTACCTAAGCGTTTAAGAGTAAAATCAAGGGAAGAAAACTTTAATTAAAAGCTTTCAAAAGGGTCGAAATTTTTAAATATTGCAGTATTATTCCTCATCCATTCACTTTTACAATGACAAATGAATGCATTTAATACTACAGTCAAAAGTCTTTAATCCGGACCTCAAAGCTACAAACTTTCTGCGCATGCGTAAAGGCATTATGCGTTTACGTATGCGCATAATACGTTTACGCATGCGGGTTCAATGTATAACGGACGGTATTGCATATTATTGCAGCAAAAAAAAAAAAAAAGTCTTATTCTGAAGGTACATTATAACTATAGTAACTCAGAACTTGTGGATCCAAACCCCAAACTTCTGAATTCTACAGCATATTTTAGGCTGTATATTCTTATCATATCCTACAAGCAATGCTAAATTACATTATACCAGAAAAATATCAATATATTTAATTTATGACAAGATCTTTACCAAAGACAACATGCTATTATAAGAAAATATGTTCATTAAAAGCATTAAATACTCGAAGAAAACTTAAAGTTGGCAAGTGTTATATTTATTCAACTCTAAATACATTTTAAATTGAAAGGTAGCATAGGTTAAGATATTAATGGTAGCTGCTATTTCACAAAATATTTAAGAACCTTCCTAACATACTACACTCTGTACAAAATAAAATAAATTCAATACATTATACTATATGCATTTCTATGTACCGGGTGATAAAAAAGTCAGTATAAATTTGAAAACTTAATAAATCATGGAATAATGTAGATAGAGAGGTAAAAATTGACACACATACTTAAAATGAATACTTATTAGAAAAGCAATAATTAGAAAAGCACTAATCTGATCAGAAAAGCAATAGCATAACAAATTAAGACAAAGCAAAGATGATGTTCTTTACAGGAAATGCTCAATTTGTTCACCATCATTCCTCAACAATAGCTGTAGTCGAGGGATAATGTTGTGAACAGCACTCTAAAGCATGTCCGGAGTGATGGTGAGGCATTGGCATCGGATGTTGTCTTTCAGCATCCCTAGAGATGTCGGTCGATCATGATACACTTGCGACTTCAGGTAACCCCAAAGCCAATAATCGCATGGACTGAGGTCTGGGGACCTGGGAGGCCAAGTATGACGAAAGTGGCGGCTGAGCACATGATCATCACCAAACGACGCACGCAAGAGATCTTTCACGTGTCAAGCAATATGGGGTGGAGCACCATCCTGCATAAAAATCGTAAGTTTCAGCAGGTGTTTATCAGCCAGGCTGGGGACGATGCGATTCTGTAACGTATCGGCGTACCTCTCACCCATCACGGTAGCAGTTACAAAACCAGAATCACGCATTTCCTCGAAGAAAAAAGGCCCGATAACAGTAAACTCTTTTTTTTTTTTTTGTTCTAATTAAAACCATGTCATTCTAAGTATGTGTGTCCATTTTTACCTCTCTATCTACATTATTCCGTGTTTTATTAAGTTTTCAAATTTATACTGACTTTTTGATCATCCGGTACATATGCATTGCATTTCCACTCAATATACTGTACATAATATATTTATTTAAAACACATTTTTAAATTAACAAATATAAAGATTAGGGTAGTTAAGTCAAAATACAAAGTATTTTTGTTGCACTATCAGAAGAATTTCTAGTTTTCAATGCTTATGACATAACAAATTATGTGTTGACATTTCAAAATATTTTTGAACACAAACAAGTATAAATAATAATTCCTGTATTTACACAAAGCTAGTACAAGCAAGTCCTTTGTGCGCTAAAATTATTTTTAGGGAGTTAAAATTATTCACCGAGCATTTAATCATTCCACAATTTTAGTTCACTTAGATGAGCAAAACTCGAGAATGCAAAGGAGCGTTAGCTCATATTTACTTGCTTGCACTGGCCCCTATTTACAAAATTTATCATGCTCTAAATTTAAAATAAATGTTAGATTAAAAAGATAACAGCGAACATTAATGGTTTAAAAAAAAAAAAAAAACTTACACACTCACACAGTGCACTAAAGGAATGCTGAAATACACTATATACAATAGATAACAGATGAGATTGCATGAAAATGTTACGTTTTGACTTTTACAATATGAATTGTATTTTAAAATACCAGATTTGAATAAAACTTATATTTATTACATACGATAATGCAGAAAATTTTATGAAAATGTCACTGGAAAATCATTTTAAGGCAGGAGTGTTTTTTTTCTATTCCCTGAAAACAACTGAATAAAAAAGATCTCAGGAAGGGGTGGGGTAGATATACCTAGTGTTATGTTTCTCAAAATTCTAGATTATCCAAATTACTTACTTAACTGTAAATTTTATATGGTACTCTGCATATAATATTTTTAGAATCCAACTTAATTTAGTACACACAGTTTTTAAATTATGCTTTTTTTTTTTTCTTTTATAACTACATTATATTAAAAGTACTAGCTTCCCATATATTATGACAAAATCTAAATAAAAACTCATGCATAGCTGTTAATATGGTGAAGGAATCTAAATGATAATAAGAATAAACTTCTCATGAAGTTCAAAATCTTATATAATTATGTTTAACCAACAAAGATCCAAAACAAAGATTTCAAAAGAATATACAGTTTGACGTGTAACATAAAGTAGAAAGGCAAAGTATAAAATCCTATTAAAGAATGACAATATAAACATAATATAAAAGTAATTTAAAATATTTGAAAGTATAAAGAAATAATTTGCTACAGCTCAAAATAACCCAGAATTTTCAGTTATTCTTAAGCCCTTTCTTTTTAATAAATAAAATTTCAGTCCCTCACAGCAGTTTAGTTCAGCTTACATGCAAAAACAACAACAATAATAATAAAAAGAATTCATATTTAACAAAAGGAATTTCATAGACATCTACATTAATACTTATTAAAAAACAAAGTGTAAGGTATGATAAGTGTTTAAACAACTTGGCAACTATGATGAAAAATAGAGAAATGTATGTAGAATCTGAAAATAAATTTGGATTTAAAAATTTTTTCTTTTGTTTGGTTTTTATTTTCAAACAGCCCTTACTTAAAAAACATCCCTCGTATATACATAATTTAATACAATGATGTATTTCTTGCAGAGATTTGTGTGCTAATCCGAAAGTAATTTTTTTAAAGTAATTTTGAATTCTTTCTCATATTTAAACATTTCATACAATAACTTTAAGATAAAATAGCTATTATTTTTACAGCTGAAATAGCAAATGAAGCAGAAATAAATCTATGCAAACACAAACATTTACTTACACAGATACAAAAGGCCAATCAGAGACAAAGTAAAAAAAAAAACTCTCACATCAATATCAAAAATTGTATTTTAAATAATTACATTAACGATCTAATATGAATAATTTGTATTTCACACTCAATATGTAGTCGAGAGACTTCGTTCAATCATACTGACTACAACAGCTTGTCAAGAATAAAAAAGAAGCAGTTTAAAAATATAATGGATTGGATTTCATAAATTATATGAAATCAAGACATTTCATAAATAATATAAAATAAAAGTAAATATTTAATTTTTTTTTAAAATCAACAACTACTTTAAAGAGGAATTCCCCTTTACTATCAAATTTTTGAGAATTTACATGCAGTATTTGTTTACTGCAAAAGAGTTTTGAGGGAAGAAGAAAAAAACACAAATTTCTCTTCATATAGATCTGGAAGGGATATACTTTGAATACCAGATTGATGAGAATTTTTTCATACAAACACAATGAAGATAAATAGTATGGATGCACTAAAAGCAAAATGTCCTCCATGATATGATAACAGGCTTCACAACTGAAGACGATTTGATAAGAAGGCACATTTAATGAAACATAACACATAATGCCTCACAAAAGCGATGTTGCAGGTGTTTGAGGTTGCACTGGTAAATGAGGAGGATCACCTTCAATCCACTGATAAAGAAATGAAATAAATTAAGTAAAAAACATAAATTATGCTATATACAAACACACATTATAAAATTTTATAGAAATACAAATAAAAGTTACTATTATTTACATGATAAATTTTGAATAAAAGACCTATAACTGCAAATCAGCAACCAAATAAATGAACAAAGATATCAAAATTGATATAAGAAGAAGGAATATGCAATTTTTGTATTTATGAAATGGATGCAAATAAATGAAAAATTTACTAATATTGGCAATAAAATTCTATATTATGCTCAAGAACTGTTTTTAAAAGAAAAATAGTGAAACGCAAATATGTAAATACAATTCACGTATACCGACTGCCTATCTCCCCCCTAAAGGTGCGTTCAGACGTGGGCGTAAAGCACATAGAGGCATAGTCATAAGGGCATAAAATACGGGAGACCCGTTCACACCTGCGAAAACGAGGTGCAAGCCATGGCCAATGAGAGAAGCTAAATTTGCGCGTGCGTGGAATGTCTACGACGCTGTTCTCCCGCTCGATTGATTTCCCGCGTTCGCTCTGCTTGTTTTTTTCGTTGTGTCATGGCTTTTCCAACTCGCCACAAAGTTTTACCGGCTCAACAGAATGATCTTTTATCTGCCCTTCTCATTAGCCAAGAGGCAACGGAAGAAGGTAAAAAAAGAAAAATAACAAAATGGTCTAGAGATATTTTTTTGAAAGACCAATACTTTGGCACATATCTTTCTGTACAAAGCAGTATGGAATATTTCTGCATTGTACTGTAGTACTCTCTATACTATAAACATGCACATGCATATTTATATACTACATAAAAACCTTCTTCAATTTTTATATATAATTTCTCTTAGGAGAAATACGATATTCTAAATATGCTTAATTTAAAAAAAAATCTTGAGGATAACTAACAGATAGCCTGTATATAATATTTTTCTATTTTGCAGGTGTGAAAGCAGTTAAGCTAAAAACAGTACTTACCATACATTATTATTATTATTATTATTATTATTATTATTTTCAATCAAAAGGAACATGTTTCTGTGACAGTGAAACGTGTGCTTAGCACTCCTTATTCACTGTCCCTGTCGATCACTAAAGTAGTTTGCTGCACTACCAGTATCAATTATCACTAGTACTAGTATCCCACAACTGGTCACAATGACCAGCAAACACAACTAGTACAATACTAGGAAACGTTCACACAACAATGTATTTTATGCTCAATCATTAAATACATTTTGCTGTCTTGCCAGCTGTTTGTGTACATCTATTTTTAATAATTTGCATGTATAAGCCGCACCCCTGAATTTAATTTCAAGATATGCTGTCATTTCTATTTACGACCAAATCTCAAAAGTAATTTCCCATTGACAAATTTTAGGTACCCAAGTCTTCAAATACATCAAAATTATAAACATTCATACCTTATCCAGGAATTTCTACCAGAGAAATAGCATAAATTTAATGATCAAAACTCCGTTCAAATGATAGTAATAAAGAGTGGTTAATAATAACAAATACTATTCATTAAATTATAGTCCATGTTATGAATTATGTGTGCTATTTAGTTTCATTAAAAGTAAATTCCTTTCATGGAGAACGTAATTAAAAAACAGAACAGACAAAACTGCACTTTAACAGGAGACAAAACTGTCTAGACTGTTGACTGCTGTTTTAAGGATATTTCACTACATCTTTCGTTCTTGGAATTCAGAAGAGCATTTTTCTCAAAAGATTAATCTTTTATTACTTATACAAAGCTTACACTATTGAATTGACTATTGTGACTATTCTTAAATAAGTGAAAATAATTTTTTTAAAGTAATATTTTTACTGTTAAAAAAACAGCAGATTCTTGATGTTGATTTGATGTTTTAGTAAAATTAATTCATGAAGTTTGTTTGGAAAGAAAATCAGCATTTGAAGCAAATACCAATACAATATTTCCAGCTTTTTTTAATAAATTTATTCTTAAATACAAAAATAATTAAACAGGAAAAAAATTACAGTAATAATTTAAAAAAAATTATAGACAGAAAGAAAGTAATAACAATAATTTACACAGAAAAAATAAAATTTTTGCAAGCATGCTTTTTTTTAAAGAATTTTCATAATAAAATGAAAAATATTGGAAGGGATCAATCATCTACAGGATCATACACAGCGTGCATATCCTGAGCTTAACTTTCGCTTTTACGAGTTTCATCCATATTTTTCAATATAAATTGAAAAACTCATTAAAAAATGCATTAAAAACTCATTAAAAAATGCATGTCATCATCGTAGATTTCTTGCGAGATCAACTCTTTATTTCGTTCGGATATGATTACAACTCATTATTTTGTTCGGATGCAATTACAACTCATTCGGATACGATGTGTTCCATATTAAAAAAAACGTCGCCTTCGATGTGACTGTGAAATCGTCTTAAGAAAGCCGCTTCGTTTTAGCTTCGCTCTGATTGGTCGACGCTTATCCCAAACTCGGCGTAAAGTTGAAACCTTGGAACCTTGTGCCACGAGCCCTAAACCAGATTCTGTGACTTAGCAGTGACTGGTTGCCTTGGCAACGGAGCTCGGCTTTAACCACTTATGTCCTTTACGCCCTCGTCTGAACGGGGCCTAACAAGCATTTACTTGCCCACCTGAAGCCATTTCTCTAAATCAGCCAAGTTCTGTCACAAACTGCTAAATAAGCATGTGTTTATTTTTGTTTTCAGTTATTAATTACACAGCTGAGTTTAGTGATTAGGCTTTATCAATATACATATACGTCATTTTAAAAAGGAAATAATTGAGAGAGTGGCACAAGTGAGCTTGTTCTTGTAACACAAGATAATTCTGTGTATATATTATAATGTTCATTTAGAAGGCCAGAAAAATTTTCACTCTAGTAAAATATATACTATTACTAATGATGTAACTTCTTTGTTCCTAGCATACCATGTTATGCTTCAGTTTCACTCTGTGGATTCACTGCATTAAATATGACATATAAGCAAAGTGTCACTGTTAGTCTTGTTGTACCATATTTGATACACTAAAACAGAATGCTATATTTGTAAAATTTAATGCATATAAATGATGTCAGAGTTTGTCGAAACATGATTGGAATGTTTTAAATGTTAGCCTTGTTGTTATGAGCTTATATATATTCGTACGAATGCAAAACACATACTTCCAATTCACATTCAAAATTTAGAAATATTTCACACAGGCTTAAAATTTTGTATGTAAGTACAGCAACAGCATATAATAGGTGCTGATATTTATATTCTTAAGTTTAATCAAATTACTACTATTACACTTTTTAATTTTTCTTAATTGTAAATATTAGGATTTTCAATTTATGTTGGAAAAAATATTTAAACAACATGTAAAGAATTCAAATATTTTGTTAAAAAGTTAATTTTATAAAAATTATTTTTGCAAGTTAGGCTTAACTCCAAAACATGCACGGGTACACAGTAACGTTCAATACTTAAACTGAAGACGATTTAAAGGTTTCCTGATACCAGAAGTGAACAGGTTAAACTAGAAAATGTATCCATCACAGCACATTACAAGATTAAGTAGTAAACAACAAATGTTGACAATTTTTAAGTTGAAAAGTCAAAGTTGAAAAAAGAAGAATAAGTGAAAGCTACATTGAAAATATGTTTTAAAGCTAATAATCTGCTGCATAACTTAGATCACCCAGCTGCACATTATTATTTATTATTATTTAGTATGATATGTGTCTAGTTCAGGTAATTTTTCTTTAGGAGAGACTGAGTTATAAATATGAACACGGGGGAAAAAAAAAAAAAAAACCACTAACCTTAAATTTGTTTTTTCAAAAAAATTTGCCAGAAGTCTACACAATTTCCCCAATGTTTCTTTAAGTTACAGAAACACTGTTTATAGGTGATAAAATGAACCATTTGCAAAATATGTGTAATATTTGATTTAATAACCAAGATGTTTTAAAATTCATGTATCATTATAATTGAATATAAGCTACTGTTCTACTGATAATGCTGTATACAGCATAGCAATATCACATTAAAGAAATAAAAGAAACCATTGCCTAGAATCAGAAAGGTTCCTTTCTAACTCAGCTTACTCCATTTTTTAATCGAAAAATACCTCCTAGTAAAAATACTGATTAATTAATTGATTTTCAGGAACAAATTCACTAGTTCTTTGTAATAACAAAAATGCAATCAATATCATATTAGCCTTTGTTTTTGACATCAGTGCTTTTTTTATATGGGAAAAGATAATCTTTTCCAGTGGGTCCTTCGCTCATCTCCTGCTATGATTTACTTTGTTGTTCACACTAAAATTGTAGTCCTGTCTCTCCGTATTCAGCAAATCTTCACAGCAAGTTTTTCAGTATTCTTGTTGCTGTTACATCAAAATCAGATGCGCAAATCAAGCACAAACTTTGTTCATTTTCAGATTTTCAATTAAAATTATTCTGAAAGTTCTCTTTGTTTATCCCAAGCACATATGAAAATTGCTGAGCTTTTACCACAAAACGAACTTTCTCCACGTTTTTTTCAGTTTTGAAGTTGAAGGACACCCTATCTTTGATTCATCTTCATTGCTTTCTTGCCCACATTTAAAGCGATTGTAACACTCATACAAATATGTTCTTTATAATGAAGTATTACATATACTGTTCAAATCATATCTAATATTTCTGTAGCAGATTTCATTTGTACCAAAATTTAATGTTATAATGTTATTCCATCTCAAAGCAATTTTTTTTTTGTACAATGTTTTCTCAGTAAATGAAAATGACCCTGGTATTTTGATACACAAATGATAAAATAACCAGTTTAAACTGGCTTTGTATGAGAATTGAGATGACATTCTTTTCATATGTACATTTATTCCTTCACCTCTGATTTTATCATTTGGTCTTTAATTTGCCTGGTTATTTTATAGGCACACCATGCATTTGCAGTCTTATTGAAAGATATAGAGCAGTCATGTTTTTCAATAACACA